AGTGATGTATTGCTTAAGTGCAGGACATTTTTTCTCAATGTCCAGTTCAATGTCCTTGAACTCTGACCTTTTACCGGTGAACGGGATTTTAATTTCAGGGCAAAAATATTTGTGTATCAAATAATTCACTTGATCATAGTGTTTCTCCTTTAGCATTCTCATTGCAGATCTACCTACTTTATCTTCTAAAACTTTTAGGAATTCATCGTCAACATAAGTACCGCCACAAAAATCACCCGTGCGCTCGGTTGTTTCCGCAATTCTATCATCTGATAATAATCTTCTAATTGTTAAATCCACGGTTCCTCCGCCACAATCGACAACTAAGTATGTTGCTAAATTGAACACAAAAAAGCAATATTAATTATAACGTAATTGCGTAATTATGATAATCAAAAATAAAAACAAAAATCAGATATATACCTCCTGTAGTTAAATTTAGTTCTTTTAATATATTCATACAATGAATTGAAGCAGCCTCCGCTAAAATTTAAACATATTCAACCAATTAGATGAATTTCACATAAATTATGATACGCGTATTAAAATTTTTTTCCTTACGTTCAGTAGTAAATTGAAGATTTAATGTGCCGATATTATTGATCAAACCAGCACCGTATATACATCTTCTCATAATAGTTTTCGCATTCTCATTGAATTCTAAAAAAAAAAAAAAATAAGAATTAATAATCGTATATAGGCACGCATATAGATATGTATACATTTAAAAATATGATAAATTACCTGCCGGTACAGTAAATACAAGTCGAACATTTTTATAAAAATCTATTCCAGGCCAATGTTTATCTACTTCCTGTTTCATGGTCTACCGTAACAAAATAATAATTAAACTAAAACGCAATGTATAATAAAATCGCAATGTACAATATATAGAAATCTAATATCATCATACATTTCCTATAAAAAAGGTAATGTTAATAATATGATAAATGTTATCATTAAATAAAAAGAAAATATATGTTACCCATTTCACGAAGATAATCGGTTATCGCTTTTTCAAAAGTAACTCCAGGTGGTAATTTTGGTTTTTTGCTTTCTGGGACATCTCCTAAATAAAATTTAAAGTATTCTACCGGTTTTGGTAAATTAAATTTTCTTCTTTTTGAAGGCTCTGAACTTAATGCCCCGGCTCCCCAATTAACAACTTCTCTATAAGATTCGTCATATTGTAATACTGTATTAGTTTTACTAGGGCTCTTGAAATTTCCCCAATCTTCATTTACTATAACTTTGATTTTCGCTTTATTATCTTGAAGGTAAGCGTAAGCAAAACCTAATGAAAGTATGTAGTTAGTTAAAGGTTTTTTTAAAATTGCATATAACGGTTTGATGTTTACCGACCAGAAAATGTGGTACCGAAATCTTTAAAATTTAACAGATTATATTAAATAATATTTTATTAGTAATAATTAAATAAATAGGTGCATCAATAGAAAAGATCATGGCTCAATGAGTTTTAAGATTATTTTAATAATTTAAAAGCGAAAAAAAACTTTTCTATTAATGATAACTAATATCTATACACACCTACGCCAATTACCACGCGTAAATCCTCTACGTCAGGTTGTTCATATTCTATTGTATAAAAAGCTACAAAATAATGACTTTCCATAATAGAAATATAACAAAAAAAATATCAGGAGTGGAGAAACGAACGTATATGTCAAATTAGAGCAAAATTCTACAAATATATTTAAATCTAGATATATATATATAAAAGCAGGGTTGTACACTTGTGTGCATATTTCCATCGAGCTTGTAAACCATTATGAAACATAATATGAATAACTTCAATAATTTAAAGCATTTTATTAATTAAATTTTACAAAGTCAATTACATACATACGTACGTACGCGCATATTATCAAAATGTGATTATTAGATTGTATCACAGTTACGTATTTGCTGCATGCCTTTATTTTTGAAGCTGTGAGTCACGGTTTGTTTAGGTAACATAGCTGTAGCGGGTGCCTAAGTCGACTCAACAACTCAGTCGCGTCTATCTCAGACTTTAAATTTGGATAAAAAAAATAACAATAATGACTTTACCTATTGATCGAATAACAGTTCTCTACAAAATGGTTACCATCTCCAATAACCATTATGCTTGATTTAAAATTTAATTGGACTTATTGATATGAATCTAATGGGATAATATTTGTATTAATAAAAATTGATTAGTAAATTAATTTAGAACAGATGTAGCCTATACATAGTAAATTTAATGTCACGGTAACAAAACAGTTCCATATGATTTTCCAAATTTAGAAGTTGATACCAGTTATGCACGAATTGGCTAATACATCAAACATTCATTATCATTATGAATTAATTTAGAATAGTTGTAGCCTATATTAAATTTAATGCCATGGTAACGAAACAGCTCCCCAAATTTCGAAGTGGATACAGTTGTGCGCAAATTGACTAATACATCAAACGTCATTATGAATTAATTTAGAATAGATGTAGCCTATATTAAATTTAATGTCACGGTAACAGTTCCATTTGATTTTCTAAATTTAGAAATTGATAGCAGTTATGCATGCACAAATTGATTAATACGTATATCAAGTATTCATTATAAAATTGATTAATTTAGAATAGCCTATATTAAATTTAATGTCATGATAACGAAACAGTTCCAAATTTCGAAGTGGATACCAATTATGCACAAATTGATTAATACATCAAACATTCATTATAAAATTGATTAATTTAGAATAAATTTAGCCTACATTAAATTTAATGTCACGATAATGAAACTGTTTTATTTGTTTTTTTAAATTTGAAGTGGGATACGTTATGCACAAATTTACTAATATATCAGACATTCATTATGAAATTGACTAATTTAGAACAGATGTAGCCTACGTATACTAAATTTAGTGTCACGATAACAACCAGTTCTATTTATTCTCTTAATTTCGAAGTGGATAACAACAACAAATTGACTAATACATCAAACCTTCATTATGAAATTGATTAATTTAGAATAGATCAAATTTAATGTCACGATAATGAAACAGATCCATTTATTCTTCTAATATTAATACGTTGTATTTTATCATAGGTACGTACAAACGAAATCAACATAAACGTAAGGCACAATGCATTAATATGGTTAATATGGTTAAACTTAGAAAACAAATAATAATTAATGTTTGATTTAAGTACGTAAACTGAATGATATTTATACATCTTCTTTATTAATTACAGTCAGACGCATTATCACAATGTTTAGAATTAAGGTTTCTTACATATAATACTGACTATTAGAAAAGCGTAGTAATATCTGCACTAATGTATATCGA